AGGGGCAAGTTTTCTAATCAACCGATTGACATATTGGTTTTCCTGGTTGTATGTTAAACACCCCCCACTACTTCCTGATGTTTCAGCTGCCAGTTCCCAGTTTGTGAGGGGACAGCTCAGCAATAACAGATGGAGACAACTCATAACCCATCCTCTGACAGAGAAACACCTTACTGAGTAGGGAGATCATTTATATCCAGCTTTATAAATAAAGTCTTCTAGCAAATATTGGTCTAGTAAAAGTTGCTCTTTGGTTATCGAGTCTGAGAGACATAAAGCAAAAACCTTATCTCCATTTTATTTACAAAAATAGAATAGTCCCAAAATGAGTCTTGCCAGAAAGAATTGTGTCATGGCATCTATCATTAAACTCATCGATCATCAGTTGTATACAAAGTCTCTTTTTTAATTTTTTTCTTAGAACTGCGATGAGTGGAGTTTTAGGCGTGAGTATTCCACTCCATTGTTCTTTCCCTGAGGCCCTTCTACTGTGTATTCCATTCAAGCTTCCATTCAGTAAAGTATGAAGAAATTCCAAACTTAATTGTGGAATTGATACTTGCACAGTTTGTTGAAACTGGTGCTCCTGTTGTTTTAAATCTTGAATGATTATAAAGCAAAGGCTACATCGGTAGAGTGTGTCTGCTGAGCAAGTAATGGAAGAAGAAGACGTACCCTTTGGTGTGTTCTGCTTGTAATGAATTAAACATCTCAAAGTTAGGTAGAAAGCTTTCCTTAGAGATCAGTTGCCTCATCCACCCGAATCAGTATTGTTTGCTTGGATGGACTTTGGCTGTCCAGGGTCTCAGAGAAGGGCTTGTCTGAGCTGTGCCAGAAGATGCCAGGAATCCTATGTGGAACATTCTAGGCTCAAAGCATGCGCTCTGCTATTAAGCAATGGTCCTTCAACGAAAGATCAGGAAATTCAGCTTTAAAATGTGCTCTTTGTAGGGACCACTTTTTCCTACTTCTGTCCCTCTGGATTTATTTGGCCTCCCTCATCGCTCCTCTGCTATTTCCTCTCCAGCTATAGCCACATAACATCTGTGGCCGTTTTTACACAAGACTCTTTCTGTACATGCATGTATACAGTTATACACAACTGCTACATAATGAGACCCATAAAAATAACCTAGCAAAGAGGAAGAGGAAGAGATATTCGATCTGCTGTACACTCATAGCAAGTATGGGGGTATTTGTTGCATTTTTATATGGAATCAGGAGTCTTTTTTATTTTAAAGATCTATGCCTTTCCTGTAAGAAACCATATATAAAAGAAATAAGAATATCCTTTCTATAGAAATCTGAACTTCATCACACTCTCTGGGATCTGCTACAGTAAAGAAAGAATCTGGATGTGGTGATTTTTTTACTGGAGCAAGCTCTGTATATTGGGGAGTATTAAAAATGACATTTTCTAGTATATCTGCATTTATAATCTGCACTAGCATTAAAATTTATATAGATTTCACATGTGCACTATAAAGCCTTTTAACTTCCTTTACTTGTACGTATCCAACTATAACAAAGCCTTCATACAGATGCGACACCAAATTCTGGTTTGGTGTAATCGATGGAAGCTTTGGGTAGACTTACTTCACTTCACTCTACTTGATGTTACTTTTACATTTTAAAATTTAAAGTAAAGTTTACATTTACTTTAATTCATTTTCTGGTTCACGGTAAACCTTAACCTTATACCTTATGTTGTATGGTATAAACTGTATAAACTACTTGTTTACAGACCAGAACTGCAAACTAATTTGTGATTTCCAGTTTTAAGGCAAAGTATAATTTGCTCATTTGAGATACACAAGAAGAAATTCAAAAAAAATGTGAGGAAAGGGAAGAAAAGAAACAGGCAGTAGCTTGGTCATTTTCATGCCATGCATGAATGAAGCCAAAGTCCAAGTATATTGAAATGTATTAATCCAGTATACCACAAACAATAAACTCCTTGGGTCAGGAACATGTTTATATATCTTCATTCCTTTGAAAAATGGCACACATTTTATAAAACAATAGTAGTAGATAAAAGTATTCTTGTCAAGAAGAAGAATAAAAATCAAGAAGTAGATGAAATATTTCAGTATTCTTCTGGGTTTTTTTTAACTTGATTTATATTATTTGAAACTAGTTCATGCTTGCATAAGCTGGTTAAAGCCTCTTTGATTTCCTTCCCTCTGAATAAATTCATCTTGTTCATCTGAAAAAGAACAAACAAAAAAACTTGAACTGAGTCCTTTTATGTTTGTCAGCACTGAGGGAAAAAACAGGCACCTTTGTTGATTTTACTGCTTCGTCAGATTTACTAACTGGCCCAGGTGTTCACAGGTTTCATATTGTTCCAAGTTTGTTAGTTAAACTAACTTTAATCTTAATCATGCAGGCAACTTTATTGGTTTCAGGCTGCAGAATTTTGTGCAAGATTTCACAGGAGGGTAGTAATTTCTTTTTCTGCAACGATTCTATATTTGGCCCTCTCATGTTACTTCTTCCAAGTAAATGTTAGTACAGTGGTTGTAAACTATGCTCCATGGAATTCTCCAGTTCCTTGGAGAAAAAAAAGGGTTTGTGGCTCAGGAGTGTTAGATGAACTTTAGAGCAAAATCTCCAGTAAGCTTGGCTGGCAACTTCTTTGGGAAATTTCTGACTATGAAATGTAGGCTCTTTGGTGGGGATTGAGGTTAGATGTGCAGAAATATCCATTCAGATAATTCATTATGGAAACAGTTTCTTGAAAAATGAAAAATTTTCAAGCACAGAAGGAACTTTTTTTTAAAAAAAAAAATCTATATTCTGAGTGTCAAAACTATGCTTTCTGTAGGATAACAATAGTGCAATGGTGTATGCCTTCCCGCCCTTTCCCATGTTCTAGGGCTGTGTGATCATTGAAATATTTATATTTATATTTAGAAAGAAGCTGAGGAACAGTGCTGTCTTCTGCTGAAAACAAATCTTCTTTTCTTTTTGCAGTATATTACAAGAAGTGCATAATTACAAATGAGCAAACCCAAGTTCTTACTTTTCAGTCAGTGAACAAAATGTATTTTGATTGCACAAAGAATATGGCTGGATCAGACAGGGATTATGACTGTCAGGTAGTGAGAGGAAGAATGTCTGGCAATTTCGGTACTATTCAGTTCATTATTCCAGCGTAGGATGGTATCCACAGAGAATAATGCATGATGCCACCTTTTACATTCACCTGATCTGGAGATTAAACTGTTGCCTCACACCAGGCCCTTCAAACTAACTACTAGTTTCTCTGAAACCATCACAACTCGACATGATTTTTTTCCTGGCCCAACTGCCAGGAACATTGAACGTTAGTTGACTCCCCGAGGAAAATGGCCGTGAATATCTGAAAAAGAGCAAGAGCCAGTTGGACAGAAATATAAACTAGGGAAAAGGGAAATTTCTCAGGAAGAAATAACATATGGAATGATTGGAAGATAGCCATTTTATATTGTATAGTTTATATTTCTCAATGAATAAGAAGAATAAAGCATTAGCAACGGAAGGTTTCCTAGGAAGTCTCTTGAAGGGGTTTGAACAGTCTTTCGATAAGTGGTGGGGAGGATGGAGGAGACAGACTTAAGTCAAGCTGAGCTCCTTGGAGAAAGGGTAGGATATAAAGTTGATAGATAGATTTCATATGGCTTGCAATAAATGCCATATTAAGAGGTTACATTCTAATGAAACAATAAATTACAAACTGAGACACGCTTTGCACCTGGGAGTTTTAAGCTCAGTACTTTTGCTTGGCAGATGTACTCCACCACCTCTCATCACCTAGTGTTTTTATAATTGGGTGGCATAGAATATTGTAAAATAAATAAAAATAAAACCAAATATTAAAAATATACAGTAAAGGAAGAACAAGAAAGAACAGATATAAGACAGCTTAATCCTTCAAAGCCGCTTCAAATTAACAATGGATATATTCATGCATGAGGCTTAGAGCTGTTTTTTTCCTCCCATGAATTGGTTTCTAATGCGAATGTAAAACCTCCATTGGCCAAAGTGTGCATTTGAATTACAAATGGCTCTCTTTCTGGTTTAAATATTCCACTTTGAGAAGGATCTGACATTCACATAAATAGCAGATGAAAAGCAAACTAAGCCTCATGTGTGGAAGTTCCCACAGTCCCGCAATATTTTCAGGCATCCTGCAAGTATGAGTGGCAATTCTGTAAAGGGTCAGCAGAGCCTCTTAAAGCAATCCAGAATATTTGAAGGGGTACCCAGAAGCAGTTAAACTACTGACTTAAGCTTGTACATATCAAAACTGCAATATGACAGCCACAGTAGAGTCTATATATCTTCCTTGGAGGGGCCCATTTCTCAAAGTTTAGTTGCCCCACAAGTAACAATAGACCATCATTGGCAAGGCCACCTTCAGTTTGAATTGATTTGGTCTACTAATTAGAACCCACGGACTAGAATACATTAAAGGATGTATCAGAGATCTTCCAGCATGGATACATACCATGGGTTAGCTGCACAGTCTTTGCAGTGTTTGCTAATGTTAACATTATATACGGGTTTGTCCCCAAGCAAATACCCTGCCTTGGGTACTGTGAAGTTTAGATTAGGACTGCCAATGTTTAGTCTCGGACAGAAGGAGCAAATTCTCAGAATGAGGATTCAGAATCACAGAGGGGAGGGGTATTTTGTCCTTAGTGAAATAATTCCGATCTTTGCTTCTCTGCCATGCCTGTCCTTTTTCACAATAGAGCAGCAGGCATAGCCAGCCTTGCCCTCTGACATGCCAAGTACAATCCTGAGTTCCTCTCAAGTCTTAGAGTCAGGATCCAAACCTTAGAAAAGCAGATTATTCTAGCAGTGCACGCAGTTAAACAATTGTATTGCAAGCAGGCAGGGTGACAATAGCCTGGCAAACTGGAATTCTTCATGGTCCAACTAATAACAACAAGCAGTTCAAAATGGAAGCAAGCAGCGTCTCTAACACTGTTCCCTTCTTTTCATTGCAGTCCCTTCTGCGGTCCCCATGATGCATCAGGTGAGTCGCACCCCGAGCAGTATCACTTTGTCCTGGCCGCAGCCTGATCAGCCAAACGGAATCATCTTGGACTATCAGCTGCGCTATTTTGACAAGGTAAACTGGTGAAAAAAGACCGGAGTTAAAAATTAGCATTTGAGTTTTGGTTTCACTTCCAGTGTTGACTTCTATAGTAAGTCTCCTCTATAAATTTGAACAAAAACAACTGTTGTGGCTCCCCATCAAGAAACCTAGCATTGGTCCAGAAAAGTTACCTCTTACTAAGTTCTCAGCACCCATAGAAATCGACAGCTTCCAGGCTCTTTTGGAGTAGACATGGGGCTTTAAAACCAGTTTAGGATTCTGGAATAGATCTGCCCTAATTTTTCTTCTCCTATTTAGACCCAGAAGGTGAGCATGCCAACCTTTTATATTACTAAAACCTGTGGGAAGTTGCCCCTGCCACAGGATCTCATCTCACATCATTCCAGAAATGAAACAAAGCAGAAAGGACCCATATGGGAAGGATAAAATTCCATAGCTTCTAGACCAGAAAAGTCTCATTTCCTGAATGGGCCAGTAGTGTTGTGGAAAGTAGTTGTGTTGTTTTTATTGCCCACAGCATTTTGATTTCAGGGTTTTCATGTTACCAGGATGGGGTGGAAAATAGTTATTACAAGAAAGAGTCTTAGAGGTTATTGTAAGCTATGTGTTGTGAAACAGTTTAACATTGCCGAAAGGGTGAGTCAGGTCATCCATCCTTGGAGCATTTTGTTATGGCATTTTCCCTCTTCCCTATGAAAATCATTCTTATTGTTTCTTTAGCCTCCCATCCTCATAAGGATACAAGAACAGAAGCAGCAGTAGTTGATAATTTGAGCGAGTAGTTCAGGAGTTTGGGCAGAAAGGAAATTTGACTAAATAACAAAAATGTGGATACATCTGAGAAAAGGGCATTGCTGAGGTTGAAGAAGTGGGAGTCTATTGATCAGCCTCTATTGATTCCTAGTCAGAAGATGAAGACACTTCATTCACCTTAACCAGTGAGACTAATATGGCCACTATCTCCAGTCTAAGCCCAGGGAAGATATATGCTTTCCAAGTACGAGCCCGGACATCAGTGGGTTATGGGCCATATAGTGGAAAGATGTATTTCCAGACCCTTGTAGGAGGTAAGTGACACACCTTCTGAGTTTCCAAATCTAGATTTATTAATACCTTTCTCTCACGCTCATACTTACCTGAACAATCTGTTTTCTCTTTTTATCGCTCTCTTGCTTCTGCCTCATAAATTTTTATAGCCCTCACATACCTAACAGGCTAACACATGCCTTGACTCCCCATATGCCTATGTATTATCAAGTGTTGCTTCATTCCAGGATGTGGCGACACTTATGCATTTAAGGTGCAATCTAACTAGGAGTTATCCTGAACAAGTCTCATCATTTCAATTTGGCTTTTGTGGAAGAACCGTTTGATGAACTGTGACCGTGCAAATTGCATATGTGTTTGACCAGAGGGGTAATCACAGGCATCAAAGTATCTTCAGCTAATTCTGGAAAGTGGCTGAAGATACTTTCAATTGCACGAGCTGTGTAGAAGTGCCATTGAAGAAAGGAGGGAAAGGAAGAGCTTTGGCAAAATTGACAATAAAAAAGACCTGGTTTTTTCATTCAAAAAACGAATTAAATAAAATGGCACAATGCAACTGGTGTGTGTAAGTGTGTCAGAGAGAGAGAGAGAAAGAAGGGCTGAGGGATTTGAAAGGTCTCTTATATTTTGGTAGATGATAAAGCCAAATGGCACAGAGGTTTGGGGTTAGGTCAACAGATCCACATCTATGTGTTGCCCAGACAAAACCTTATGGGGAGAGGAGAGCTGATGGGGTCAGCATAAGTATGACCCTTTCTGCTCTACAGACCTGGGTACTTCAGACAGAGGAAACAGGGCACTTCAGAACATTTGTGGCTGTAGTTGCAGAGCTCCTAACAACACTTTGGGAGAGTGTGTTCAGAGCTACACATATTCACCTCTATTGATAAAGACTATATATGAGAAAATAACAGGCTGCCTTCCTTTTTTGACAGGTGAGCGCTCTGAGATGGTTCAGGACCGACTGCCACTTATTGTAGGCTCAGCGCTGGGTGGACTGGCCTTCATGGTTATCGCTGCCATTGCCATCCTGGCCATTGTCTTTAAAAGGTGGGTGTTCTGCTTTTACCCCCGTAAAGATATTTCTGATTCAACACAAAACTACTCCCAGGTAAGGGAGTACAACATGATTTTGGAAAGCTGCTTTCAAACAGGATTATTATGTCCTAGAACTCCACTGGGAGAGAGAGTCTGCCATTTTTTCCGTATTACATCTGGAATCTCACATATTACACAAGAGAGATTCGTAGTTGGAAGCCAGTATGTGTGGGGAAGGAGGGCATACCATGCTTCTTTGACCTCATACTCAAACCTCGAGGTAGCTGGAGAAACGTGACAGGTTAATAGGAGAGTATCTTTGGTCAATATATCCTCAATGATGGAGATACTCTTTCTACTAATATGTTTAAAGGAAGACTGTTAATCAGGGGTAGACAACCTGTAGGCTGCTTGGAATTCTTGGCAACCTGTTTGCATTCCAGAGTGTCCAAGGCCCAAACTTTTGAACCTCTTTTTTTAGTGTTTTGGGGGGAAGGGGAATGTTAAATGGTGGAAATGATCTATGCAGCTTTGCAGAGGTTTAAAGCATCCTGAACACTCTTAAAAACCACAACCCCCTCCAACTGAGCTATATTTTTCTATTTGAGGGGGGGGGGGTGAAAGAGTAAATGGATAAGCCTCTGCAGGACTTGTTGCCACTTTGACCCTCATGCCTGCACAATGAAAATGTATGTTTGGCCAGCCCCACTCACTTTGGGTTTTTTTAATAGTAATTTTATGGAACATTACAATTAAAAAGAGAAAAACTAATACAAATTTTAAAAAAAGGAAAAATAGAAAGTGCAAAAAGGAGGGAAAAAGAAAAAGAAAAAAGAAAGAAAAAAATAATAAAGAAAAAGAAAAATATATAAAGAAACGACTTCACCCTTCATCACAACAAGTAAAAATAAGCTTAGTAACTTATCACCTTCTCTTAAAATATAACAAATAATCTCTTCCTGTATCTCATCTCTTATCTATAAACAAACCTTTAAAGCTTCATCATTCAGTCCTGGTCAGCAAAAGACCATTAAGGGTTACCAGAGATAACAACATATCTATTTTAACCTTGATCAAATAAATGAACTTTATATTCCTTCCTTTTATTCTTAACAATCTTGATCTTTTTATATTCCTTCCCTTTACTTTTAACAATCTTGATCCTTAATCCCCTCCAATAATGTCCTAGAACTTGATTTCTTCTCATTTTTTCTTTGTCCCTTCTCACAAAATTCTTCAAAGCTTTAACAGCTCTCTTTTGTAGATCCAATATAAGAAAGTTATCTAGGTCACTCTTTTGTTTGTGAAGACATCAGCCAGCTTCATTTGTATATCCAGTATAGCATCTCCTTCCACACCATTCCTGTAGCCTGTCGTTTTTAAATCCACTTTCAAGTCACTCTCAGTCCTGTCCAGTAAAACTTGCTCTTCTTCCATATTATCTTCCAAACACAGTCTACCTGTAATAGCAGAAATTCTTAGAATTAACTTCTGGATCCCTTGTTCACAAATATCCTTCAGTACATCTAACGTTAAAGTATTTTGCTCCATTCTGTATTAGTAAATCAAATCTAAGTGTTTTCCTCCTTTAATTGTAATCTTTAGTTCCTTTTTGTTCCCTCTAGCGTCTAACCTTCAAAATCCCATCTTATCATATATGTATGTATGTATGTATGTATGTATGTATTCAAAACAACAGCATTTTCCCATGGGAAGGATTCTTATAATTACTTTCAAAATCTTATTTCAAATCCATGTGGACCCTTAGTCTGTTTGTAACTTTCCAAAATCATTGCTCTAATCACTCTTTTGCTGCTTATTTCCCCCTCCCAAAAAGATTTTTTAAGTCCTTAAATTTGTATTTAAAACTTGTTTCACTAAGATTTGAAGGAAACTCACCCGGTGTAGTAAAACTTACCATTCTGAAGGTTCCTAATATCTGAAAAGCAGCTAACAAGCCATTTCCAAAAGTGATTAAGAAAGGAAGTATGAGAACCCTGTGTCCATAAAGGCACTGACCATGGTGTGAGCAAGATGATTATTCCTATGTCTCCCAGAGCTCTAAACCCACCAGAGACTGCTGTCTTTCAGTCTTCTTGTGAGGAGCAACTGTCTGGAGCACCTCTCGGCAATCCCAAGTCCTCTCCTTGTCAGGAGAGGAATCCCAAAGAACTGGTCTATTCACTGGCTCTTCATTCCACCATGGTCGTTCTTCAGTTCACCATTTCTTCCCTGGAAGTTACCAGCCCCACTCACTTTGTGACATCGTAATATCACTAGTCATGTGACTCCAAGCCTGAAAAAGGTGGCTCATCTCAGCTATAATTGAAAGACAGGCAACGTATAGCTTTAGTCCCCAGTCTAATTTCAAACAGCCTCTGCAAGTGATCAGTTTAGACCTCTGGTAAGAGCTGTCTCATCTTCACCTGGCAATCTGGTGAAGAGAGAAGTTATCAAAAAGAGAATAAAGAGGGTGTCAGAAAAATAATGGGTACCCCACTCACTACTTGCTTCAGGCCTGCCCACTGTTAGCAAATGACCCCAAGAGATTCTCCCAAGGAATGCAAGCCTTGGCCAAATAAATAGATAAACATCCCCATCTCCATTATAGATCAGTTTAAAACTCCTGTAAAACAGCAAATAAGCAAGCTGTTTGAAAGTAGAGTCAAATAGCTCCAGTTTTCATTCTGACTTCAATTGAAATTCGTTACTATTTTTTGTCTAATCACCAAATCCCAAAACTAGATATAATTATTCATCTAATCTAAAGGCTATTAAAGCACACAGGAGTTCCAATCAAATGCATTTCACATCATTACTTGGTACTCTGCCTAATGCATTGAAATTCATGTTCAGAATGCTACTTTTAGAGCTATATCATAAACTCTGTCACTGAATGAATAGTCATGGGCTCCCCTGTATAGCACCTTACTGCGAATGCTGGCATAAATTGTCTTTGTAACTGGATATGTGTTGCTGAGCATCAAAACAAATGTAAAAAGTGCACAAAATGAGCCTACGCAACATCTGATTATCAGATGAATTCCCAAGAGAACTGCCAGTGTCATTTTGCTGTATGGTAAGTGTCCATTCAGTATTTAAGAATATCATAAGAGTTCTGCCAGATGAAACTAGCCAACATAATGTTTTTACTACATGCTTTAATTTACTGCTATGCTTCCTCCATTTTTATTCAAAACTGCTTCAGGATTTTATTGAAAACTGCTTCAGGCAGCATGCAAATATTTTGAATAAAGAAATACTTATTTCGAATATTACAATTTCCAACAATGCCCATCTAAACCAATGGCATATTTTACAGTCACAGATGATCAAAGGTCATTTAGTCCAACTCTTTGCTAATGCTGAAAATCTATTATGCTAATATTTCATTGGACTTTATGTGAAGTATTCTCTTTTGTCTACCCAAACCTCCTACAACCAGTCAGTTGAGGTTCAGATTTAGTATCATAAGAAAAAGAGAACAATCTTTTCTCTTTCTACTCCATCCTCACCGTAAATAATTTTCTACATTCCTTCTGACCTCTCTTACATTGAAAGGAAGTTATACTTAATGTGACCTACACATAACTTATGAACAGACGTAGAATGATTGAATATTAATTAACTTCCTCCCCCTTCAAGAAACCCCATGATTATTTCTCCAACATCCTGACAATTTTGACTGCTCTTGCCTGTACCTTTTTCTTAGCTCTAAAATAGTCCTTTGGAGCTGATGCATCTGACACTAGGAAGGTCATCCTATTTTAGTTTTCCTTTTATGTTTTCTTCTTCCACAGTAAGAGACGAGAAACTCCATACACAGATCGCCTGCAACAGTACATAAGCACTCGGGGTAAGCAATTGAGGGTCTCCTCTCTTTTTAATTACCTCTTCTATCAGGCTCGTAACTGATTCTGGGATCTGTGGTCTCCCTCACAGGCCTTGGGGTCAAATATTACATTGACCCTTCTACCTATGAAGACCCCAATGAAGCTATTCGGGAATTTGCCAAGGAAATTGATGTATCTTTTGTCAAGATAGAGGAAGTCATTGGATCAGGTAATGAAGGAATATTTTCTCATTTAATCTCTGCTATCGTATTTGCTCTTTAGCCTATTTTTCAGTACACTTGTTCTCATTTGGAGCCTCAAACATAATTAAATATCCCAGTGTGACCCTGCATAATTAAATATCCCAGTGTAAGCCTACTCTTTTTTGTTGGGTACAATTTATTGATCTTGACAAGAGTCCATCCAATTGTCAGGTGTTCCTCCTGTTTACCTGTTTTTTGCCCCAATTCTTCCTTTCTAATGGAACTTTACTCGAGTGTTATTACAACACTGTCACAGTGCAGGCTTCATCTTAGGGGTTGGAGGAGTTAAAGATGGATGCATTCTGGGAAAAGTACTTTGTTTCAATGTGCAGCGCTACAGATCCAAAGCAGAAAAGATGCTTCAGAGTTGATGGGGTATGCATAGCACATGTGCCAGTACCTCCTTTAAAAAGATGCCCCTTTTTGGACTCCTGGGGAAGAAATGGCAGACTGAAGACGGCTCCAAAAAGCAGAGCTGACGACCATGGCAGAATGAAGAGCCAGCAAATAGACCGGCTCTTCGATAATTCCTCTCCGGACAAGGAGAAGACTTGAGATCACCCACAACTGCTCCAGACAGCTGCTCCTTGCAAGGAGACCACAAGAGACAAGGGAATAACCATCTTGCTCAAACCATAGTCAGCGCCTTTGAAAGGACACTAAGTTCACATACTTCCTTTTCCAATCACTTTTGGAAATTACTTGTTAACTGCTTTTCCTAGCTATTTCCTAGCTATTAGGAACCTTTGGTTTGACAAGTTTTATGCACTGGGTGAGTTTCCTTCAATCCTTAAAGAAGCTTTAACTACAAGTTTAAGAACTTTAAATTTTTTTTTTGAATAAACAGCAAAAGGGTGATTAAAACTTTGATTTTAGAAAGTTACAAATGGACTAAGGGTCCTGATAAATTTGAAATAAATTTTGGAGTTAATTATAAAGAATCCTTCTCATGGGAAAATACTCTTGTCTTGAGTTAAAAAAAAAAAAGTAATAAGATAAGATTTTAAACATTGGACACTAGAGGGAACTAAAGATTATAATTAAAAGAGAAGAACACTTAACCTCAGCTTACAATTGCAGAATGAAGCAAAATATTTTAACATTGGACGTATTGAAGGATATTTTTGAACAATGGACCCAGAAATTAATTTTAAGAGCATCTGCCTCTATGGATAGACTGTGTCTAAAAGATGTTATGAAAGAGGAACAAGTTGTACCTGACAGGATCAAGACTGAGTTGAAAGTGGATCTACAAATGACAGGCTACAAGAATGACATGAAAAAAGATGTTATACTGGACATACAAAAGAAACCGGCTGATGTCTTAATAATTAAAAGGGATATACAAACAACAAACCAAGGGAGTGACCTTGGTAATTTTCTTATAC